ATATCATCAACATAAATTTGAACTACTAATAAATCTTTACCTTTATGCTTTAAAAACAATGTAGTGTCAACCTTCCCTTTTGAAAAACCTTTTTCAATTAAAAAATTTGACAATCTTTCATACCAAGCTCTAGGAGCTTGTTTTAAACCATAAAGAGCTTTTGTCAATTTAAGAACATGATCCGGAAATTTTGAATCTTCAAAACCTGGAGGTTGTTCCACATACATTTCTTCCTTTATAAAACCATTTAAAAATGCACTTTTAACATCCATTTGATATAATTTAAATTCATGAAAACATGCAAATGCTAATAACATTCTAATTGCTTCCATCCTAGCTACGGGAGCGTATGTTTCATCGTAGTCTATGCCTTCTTCTTGAGTATACCCTTGAGCAACAAGTCTAGCCTTGTTTCTCACTATATTACCACTTTCATCAAGCTTATTCCTAAACACCCATCTAGTACCTACAGTAGATTTATTACAAGGCCTTTCAACTAATGTCCATACTTTACTTCTCTCAAATTGATTTAATTCTTCTTGCATAGCCATAATCCAATGTTCATCATTTAATGCTTCTTTAATATTCTTAGGCTCTATGCATGAAATAAATGCAACATAATCACAAATATTTCTAAGAGAAGATCGAGTTGTTACCCCTTTGGATGGATCACCTATAATCTCACCACCCTTGACATAGTTGTACTCTCTTGGATAAGATATTTCCCTTTCTACAATGGTTGGATTCTCAAGAGGATCATGAGTTTCCTCATTTTTCGTTTCTTCCTTTGATGATGGTTCTCCAACTTCATGTCTAGCGTTATTTGAATTTATAACACCTACATCATCATTCACACAAGAATCCTTCCTCGGAAGGGGATTATCATCGAAAACAACATGTATAGACTCTTCTACAACTAAAGTTCTTTTATTAAATACTTGATAAGCTTTAGAATTTAAGGAATAACCCAGAAAAATTCCTTCATCACTTTTAGCATCAAATTTGCCAAGGTTTTCTTTACCGTTGTTTAAAACAAAACATTTACATCCAAAAGGATGAAAATAGCTAATGTTAGGCTTTTTATTTTTGAGAATTTCATATGGAGTTTTCTTTAAAATTGGCCTAATCATTACTCGATTTACAACATAACAAGCAGTATTTGTGGCTTCCGCCCAAAAATATTTTGGCAAATTATTTTCACAAAGCATGGTTCTAACCATTTCTTCTAAAGTTCGATTTTTCCTCTCAACAACTCCATTTTGTTGAGGGGTTCTAGGTGCTGAAAAATTGTGGCTAATACCATTAGAATTACAAAAATCAATAAATCCAAGATTTTCAAATTCAGTGCCATGATCACTCCTAACACTAGTTATAGAGTAACCTTTTTCATTTTGGATTATTTTTGAAAATGTGATGAACTGTTCTAATGCTTCATCTTTAGTACTTAAAAATAGAACACAAGTATATCTAGAATAGTCATCTACCAAGACAAATGCATATTGTTTTCCATCCAAGCTAGTAGTCCTAGTTGGCCCAAAAAGATCTACATGGATCAATTGTAATACTCTACTAGTTGATACATCATTAATGGATTTAAAGGAAACGCGCTTTTGTTTTCCTTTAGCACAAGCATCACAGATTTTATCATTATCAAATTTAAGCTTAGGCAACCCTCGAACTAAATCACCTTGAATTAGCCGTTGCAAAACACTCATACTAGCATGTCCTAGTCAACTATGCCATAACCAACTATCATGTTCATCCTTAGCAACTAGGCACAAATTAGTCATATCAATAGAATCTAAATGCACCATGTAAATGTTTCCTATTCTATGACCAACAAGCATAATCCGATTAGATGCAATGTCAATAACTTTACAACCATTAATTTCAAACAAGGCATTGAATCCCTTATCGCATAATTGACTAATACTCAATAGATTATGCTTTAATCCATTCACATATAAAACATTTTTAATTTGTATGGAAGAGGTATTACCTATTGTACCAATACTTTCAATGTGACCTTTTGAATTATCACCAAAAGTCACTTCTCCTCCATTTTTGACGTTAAGCTCTATGAACTGGCTTTTGTCTCCGGTCATGTGTCTTGAGCATCCACTATCAAGGTACCATGAATTTGAATTTGTTTCCCGTGCCTTGTAGCAATGCTCCTTTCCCTACAAACATAGATTAATTTTTGATTTTTGGTACCCAAATTCTTTTGGGTCCATATTCATTAGTTTCCAAAATCCTAGTTCCCTTGGGTATCCATTTGTGTAGGATATCTTTATCTTTAGTAGTAATGAGATCCTTTAGGAACCCATATACTTCTAAAGATTTTACCATTTAAGGTTCGTTGAGGATATCTATGATTGTAGTTTCTAAAATCTTTTCTAACAAAGTTGGATTTTGAATTTTCTCCTTTTTCAAAACGTTTTGTTCCAACTTTATCAAAAGAAGTTTTAAGATCATCAATTTTCTTTTGATGATCATCATTGACCTTTGAAAGTAAATTTTGCAAATCTAAATTTTTCTTTTCAAACTCTTCTAGTTTGATTTGCAAATCTTTGATTTTACTTTCAAGATCATTGTTGGTTTTGGATATGAGTTTATTTTCATTTTTCAACTTTGAAACATCATTTTTATATTTTAAAAATAATTTCTCATAATCCGAAGCTAACCCATTATATTCCTCTAATAGCTCATCATAAGATAAATCATCAAAATCAGATGAGTTAGAGGTTACCTTAGAATCTTCCCCAAATGCCATTAAGCACAAGTTTGCTACTTCTTGTTCTTCTTCATCGGAACCTTCTTCATCGCTCCATGTAGCCACATGAGCCTTGTGCTTATTCTTTGATTGACCCTTCTTCTTCAATTGTGTGGGCAATCATATTTGACATGCCCTGGCTTTTTGCATTCATAGCAAATGATCGGGTCCTTCTCTTTTGGTTCATATTTTGAGGCCTTCATTTCTTTTGAATTTTCTTGCTCGGTAAGGTCTCATCATTTTTCTGAACCGTTTGGCAAACAATGCCATTTCCTCGTCATCATCATCATCATTAGAATCACTCTCATCTTTTGTGGATTTGAGAGCAACTCCAATGTTTTTCTTCTTCTCCTTCTCCTTTGGTGTTTCTTCAACTTTATCAAGGTCCACCTCATCTTCAAGCATCATCTCATGAGTGAGGAGTGAACCGATAAGTTCTTCAAGAGTTAAGGACGATAGGTCCTTAGACTCGATGATTGCCGTCTTCTTTGATTGCCATGATTTTGGGAGGGAGTAGACTAACTTCCTCACAAGCTTTTCATTTGAGATGATCTCTCCATATGATTTGAGACCATTGACAATCGTTGAAAATCTATCCGTCATAGCTTTGATGTCTTCATTTGGTTTCATCCTGAAATTTTCATAGCTATGCGTTAGAATACTAATTTTTGATTTCTTTACCTCATCGGTACCTTCATGTGTGACTTGAAGCTTGTCCCATATTTCTTTGGCGGTTGTACACGATGAAACTCTTCCGTATTCATCTGGTCCAAGAGCACAAAAGATAATATGGATGGCTTTGGAGTTAGCTGGAACATTTTTGTATCTCCTTACTCCACAACCTTGGATGAGTGATAGGCTTAATGTATCCTTCTTCTACGGCATTCCATGCTCCCATGTCACTTGCTTGAATGAAGTACATCATTCTATTCTTCCAATAGGCGTAGTTAGCTCCATTGAAGAAAGGAGGCTTGTTGACGGGCATCGAATCGAGACCGGAGTCGAAGTTTGAAGCGGAGGCCATTGATGACTTTAATAATCGATATAACTCTTCCCGAATCGACTCAAGAGGCGATAAAACCTTCAAATGAGTTAGGCTCTGATACCAATTGTTGAGTTAATCGAATGCCGAAATTGGCCAAGAGGGGGGGTGAATTGGCAATAAAAATTTTGTGGAAGCTTTTGCAGAAAATTGAAAGTAATTGCACATCGATTTACAGTGGTTCGACTTTCTCAAACAAAGTCTACGTCCACTACCTTAGCTATCCACACGAAGGATTTTCCAACAAATTCACTAATTTGTTCTTTCTTTTGAGGCCAAAGAGATAACCTTACAATTCCCTCAGGAGTATACCCCAACTCTTGAGAACACTCTTTTCTCAAAGAGAAGATTACAAATTTGCAAACTTACAAGAAAACCTCACAAGGTAAGATGTTTGCACAATTCTAGAATAAAGAAAAGAACACTCAAAGATGAATACAATTGAGCACAAAAAGTGTTCTTGAAAGCAAAATGAATATTGAATGAAAATAGGCTTGAAATGCTCAAACTTGAGGTTTGATGCTTTCTCTTTGATTCTCTCTTGATTCTAGTTGCTTGATGTTTCTTGTTATTGATCAATGGCTTCTAAGCTTGCTTAAATACACCTTGGATCACTTCTGAACGTTGGGGATGATTAGAGAAGATATTATAGCCGTTTTAGTGTGAAAACATTTAATAAAACAACTTGGTGTGTGGGGGGAATCGGTTCCCCCTTGAAGGGAATCGGTTCCTAAGTGTAAAATTCAAATATTTCGACCGTTGTACAAGGGGGGAATCGGTACCCCCTTGGGGGGGATCGGTTCCCTCCGAGCATTCTGGAAATCTCGGAGCCAAACCATTCAGGGGGGAATCGGTTCCTCCTATGGGGGGGAATCGGTTCCCTCTGAGCAATCTGGAATTTTTGGCTTTGAATTGGTTCGAAATACTTTGTAAAATTATTTTGAAATTGTTTTATGATTAAAACTTAATTTTACACTTAAGTAAGGATTAAAAATGATTTTTGAAATATTTGGAGTAATGTTTTGATATTCGAATAGTTATATCGAATATACTTAGAAAATCATTTGGAAAATCTTAAAATCCATTTAACTTAATTTGTTATATCGAAATATCAAAATGTTTCAACAAATTTAAACATATTTCATTACATTAGGGGTTGAGGATCGAGGATCATATGGGATAACATTAGAAGTTGAGGTTTGAGGAACATTTGAGACAATTTCGTAAGAGAGATTGTAAAATAAGCTTCTCCTCATCCTTTGATTTCCCTGAGAAACTTGCCTTTGCCATCTCCCTTAGTTTCTTCATATCATTCTTTGTACTTTCCTCTATTTTTTGTCCGACGAGAGCTGTCTCTGCAGTTGTGCCTGTAGCTTGAAAAATTGGTAAGCCTGAACCTGGACTGAGCAGTGGGACTATGGTTGCAGTCATGGAACTTACTTGCCCGACCTGGAGTTCCCTTCGACCACTCCTTGCTAACTCGGTTTCCCTGGTTTGAGGAAGGCCCGGAACTAAGACGGGTTTCTCTTTTGAAGAACTTGGTATGACTCCTGTCCAAGGTTTCCTTGGGAGGAAAGGCAACAGAAGACCCTTGGCAGCAAACTTCAACCCGAGTTTAAAAGAACTTTTTTGTGGCTTAGACAGATTTAGAAGGCACTTTATCAGTGCATACCATTCATTTACAAGCTGAGAAACAAAGGAAAGGAAAAGGAGAGCCAGCAATAGGTATCCCAATGTTTGTTCCCTAATCAAATTCGATTTATTCATACTGATGGAGAGACCAAACATGCCAGCCTCACTCAACAGCGAAATGCTTTCCACAATGTAAACTCCCCTCATTTTGTGTGGTTTGAGAGTAAATAAACATATGAACTGCACCAGAGTGACCATCAATGCACAAAGGCTTTGGCTTGATCTGTGTGTCGAGTAGGATCCAGCAATCACTCCCAAGCAGACTCTTCTTAAAAGATCAATAACGATATAGGAGGATCGAGCACAGCCTAAGACCCTCGTCGGCAATGGAATTTTCGTTTCTTCATGTCTGTCATCCGAGCTGACTGCTCTCATTCTTCCGATCCCATTTTGACCACTCCCGACCCACCTATGCATAATGTTTGTGTCATTCTGGTCAACAAAAATATACATTGGAGGACCCTTGTGATCCTCAAATAGAATGCCAAAGCAAGAAAGTAATGATGAAGGCAGTCCATCCATAAAAAACCATCTTCCATAAGCAGGTCTTCCCACAATAATGAACCACAATTTCTTACACCATTGCTCCTCTGCAGTGACATATCTGATCTCTTTGTACCGAGCAAGGCTGCCAGTGAAGACTACGATTATAAGAAAAGGCATACCGATAAAATGAAGGCCGCAGGGATAGCTAGAAACAAAGCTCCAGTGATGATCCCTTCAATTGTACGACCTATGAATCACATATCTCTTTAGATTCCACCTATCAATAATATATTCAAAACCCTATGCCATATAAGCATAATTTCTCACCTCTTATTACAAATGCAGCAGACTGAGATATACAAGGCAGTGCGAGAATTAAAAGGAGGAGCTCAAATCTCGGAACCGAAATCATCCATTGAGCTGCTGCACCTATCCTCCATCTTAAGAAAACTAACAGTGCGAAGTGAAGCATTAGCAAACTACCAACTCCTATGCTAAGCCAGAACAAGTTCAGCTCCATGTCCTGCCACCTGATAAATAAACTACTTCAGCATCCTAAATTTACGCATCTTTCGAAACAAAATTAGAAAGTTAAAGTTCTGTATCTGACCCTTTATAGTTCTGCATTTTTTTGACAACATTACCAGAAGATAATGGTTCTCCTCTCTGCGTAACCAATGAATAGAGATATAGACGTTTTCACTTAAAAGCATAATATCAACTTCAAACCGAAATACCAACCAAGAAAAAGGTGAAGTATTCATTTGAAGTTAGAGGTAGTCCAAAAGGAGTATTTTCTTTGCTTATGTTGTGCCTTCCATGGAAGTTTGGGTCAATTTCGGATGGAAATCGTAACTTTTGTGGCATGTTTGATGGGTTAATGAACTGAATGTCACGGTAAGCTCTAAAGGATCTCTTTAGGAGCCTCCCTTGATCCAAATAAACATTGTGAGGCCAAAATGAACAGCCATTCTTTTTCCAGGGAAGTTTCTGTCGAGGTATGAGCCACCTAAGACCTTTTGTTGTCTCAGAATATTCAATGGTTTGATCAGCTAATAGCCAGTCTGAAAGGACAAAAACTTGCAGGAGTCCTATCATTCCCTGTGATGAAAATTTTCTCATGTCTTTACTCTGAGCTTAAAATATGATGGCACAAAATTTTTTAGCTTGTTGACACAACCAAGCTATTGAAATTGCTTACATGTAGATTTTTTGATGCATCGGAAGCAATGTAAGTATTACTCGCGATTGCTCCGAGATTTGTGGAGGAAAGTGAAAGAGTTGCAGCAGCTAGAGTTGTTGCTAAGACTCCAGCAGTCACAAATGAGTGTAGAGATGTTGATATTGCAGGTGTTGAATCTGTTTAAATTTAAGAACATGTTCGTATATTAACCTTCGGTTTCGCCGATTCTGAAAACCAAATCTGGGTAATTCCTGGATTATGATGAACTCTAATCGTTGAAGAGATTAATGGGAAATTTGTTAAACTTACAGTGAATAATTTCCAATCTATTAGAAGCCACGTTCATATTTCCTGAAATATTATTCACTTTCCCCTCGGGAATAGAAACTGACACCATATTATTAGCTATTGCCATGACAGTCAAGGAGTAAAGAGCTCTTGAAAGTTCCTTAAACCTATATGAAAAAAAATGATGCTAAAGATGCAACACTAGAATGACATGTTTGCTTCTGATATTGAATGTTCAGAATTTTCATATGCACCTGCCTTATGAGTCTCCCTCCATTCACTTCTATCATGGAGGCCTCGAAACCGAAAATCAGCTTTGTAAACTCAACTACTACATTGATATTGGACTCCTTAGTAACATTTTCTGAACTCGTACTTAACCCGATCCCAGGCTTCTTGCAATCTTAGAGAAAAAAATCATCAATTAGTTCTCAAAGAAGCTACATCGTGGGCTAGGAACATTCGAAAGTGCCACTAACATTTGAAAAGCATACCATAGAGGAATGTAAGCGAGTTAACAGTTGAGACAGGAGTGCCCGTTCTGCCAATCAGCAAACCAACTTGTAGTTTAACTGTGATTATTTGAGTTTTTGGTGCAATGTTCTTGAGCTGCAAAAGTTATAAGAACTTTTAGTTAGGATGTAAATCTATATCCAAAGGGATGGTATTTCAAATTTTTTTGATGAGAATGTAAATTTGGTTGCTTACACTAAATGCAAATCGGCTGTTTCCATGAGTTCTCTGGTTAACAGGTATTAGACTACCAAAGTTCACATCTAACGCATTTAGGATCTGCTCTGTTGAATTTATGACTGGAATGCTGAAATCCAAGTACACCTTCAGCTTGTCCGTTCTGTTAGTTGCGAAAACTGTTCGAGGAACCCCATTGATCGACAACTCGTATGATGGAACAGATGACAAAAGATCAACCAGCACAGGCCTTCTGTCTAAGACAAGTTTTGGAGATATGAACAACAAAAGGTTCAAAATCAGATTTTGTACAGTAAACTGTCACCAAGACTCTTCTGTGTCCTTGAAGTACTCATATTCGTACATATGTGGACATTGTAGGGTATGGTCCTCCAAATATATGGAAAACTTGGAGCAAAAAAATCTAAACACACTCGGGTTAGACACAATCGGGTTAGACACAAAACCATATACGTCACATTCTCCCAAATACAAGTAACAAAGTCTATAACCTCAATGCACAAAGTCGTTGATCGGTTTCTTACCGAAGTGAATGATTAAGGTGGAAGAATTGCTTCTTGTGAAATTATTTCCAGCCCTATCCTTACAAATATCATCAGCCATTGTTACCACAACACGGCCATTTATGCTTTTCAAGGATAGAACCAGTAGGAAGCTGTATTTAATGTTAGGTTCAATGATGACTTAAAAAATGAATTGTTCTCAATTTAAAGCATGAAGACAGCTAATTGAAGTTTTAATTTCTGTTGTTTATTGCACACAGCAAGGCCTCAAAAACCTCATCTCATATTCAACAAATTAACAAGCTTTGAGCAAACCACCCCACTTACATCACAATTTGATGAGTTCAAACACGCTAAGCCACCATGTCGTATGCAAGCTTCACTGAATGTAATGTCGATTGTAATCTTTTCAGCATTCGTGTAATTCTGTTTGCTTAAAATAATTGCTGTTGGTGGGATTTTATCTGACAAAAGAGTCTAAACCTTAAGCAAATCACTGCACTATCAGAATCATAAATGCCGAGCCTTCAATCTGATATACTTACCAATAAACCATGAATAAGATGAACAGTTTTTCTCTCCGTTCCGGTTTGTGACGTTGAGAAGGAAGTTCTGCTTATGATTTGCAGTTAAGTTTCTCAGAACTAAGTTATCAGCATGACAAGGTTTCAATATCTGCCCATCCAACTGCTCATTAAGAACAAAGTTAAATATCTTAGTAAATTACCAATGTGCATACTTTCGGTCATCATTTCAGACATTGAGATTTGAATTCCTAACATTTTGGACTCGGCCTTTTTAAGTGATTGAAATCAAACAGAGTGACAAAGAATTAGCAGGAGTAATACCTCACAGTAAATAGAACAGCTACTGTTCCTGCAAGCATTAGAACTGTTAGGCCTTTCAAATGAGTACCTAAAAACAGCAGTAGATAACCTTGACCGCGGTGGGGGAGTTTCATCGAAATGAATGTAAACTTCTGACTCAGTAAAGTTTAGTGCACCAACAAGCATTACTGCAACAAAGAAACTCAGTTTAAGGAACTCGAAAAACCCCATTTCAGGAATTGCCATTTACTTTCATAATTCAACCAACAAACAACCAGGAAGAGAAGAAAAATATAAAGAGAAGTTGTGAATTGTTGAGAGATTTATTAACGGCTTTTATGTATATGAATTCTGGTGCTTATTTATGTTTGAAGAGGGTGAGTAAAGCTCAGGTCAACCACCTCAACCACAGTAGTCAGTCCTCATTTACTGCTGATATAAAGAAGTTCACATTCCTCTATAGCTACCATTGGCTATGGCTGGCTGTCTTTACTTTAATGCAATTGTTTTTTTTGTTCTCTCTTTTTTTTTTGTCTTCTCATTTTTTCCTGTGTAAATAAAAGAAGTTAATGCATGTCGACCCCATTGCAGACTGCAAATTTTGCTCCTCAAAGTCTCATTGACATAAAAGCTTTTGTGGGCATTTATATTAACAACTATACTTCATCACATTTCCCAAGTTTCTTTATTGGGTTTTCTTTATTACTGGATTTGAAAATTCCTTTCCATTAATACTCGTAAATATTCAATTGAAGTGTTATAATGATCAAATTCCCTGCATTTTTGCTGTAATAAAGGAAAAACCTGTAATTACCAATACCATTGTTTGAACTCATTTACAGAAAGATAAAACATTTTTGTTGAAAATATCCGACCGGAGAATGCAACAACAACAAATAAAGTAGAATCACTGATCCCACATTGAATGCAAATGAACACAAGTCATGTCCTGCAAGTCTGTTTGGAGAAACACTCCTATGCAGGATTTAAATTGCGGTTGCGGCTGTGTTTTCGATTACCTTGCGATTATTGCGGTTGGAGACGTAACAAATGTTGTTGCAGTTCTTAGAGGTACCGCCGTCATGAATTGTTTTTTACGATTTGATTTATTTTTTCTAAAAGGAGCTGATTCACCGCCATTATTGTCGTAATTGGCCCACTATTGCTGCAATTGGTCAGTACCAACGAGCTTTGAATCTGAAGCCATAGACCAGGCAAATTTCTAAACTTTGGAGGAAAGAAAATAATTGTTTTACACAAAAAAAAAATCGTCATTGGATTATTGATATGAAAGAAAGAAGAAGACCTGGAATGATTTACTGAAGGAAGAAATCTTTGGGTCCTATACAATTAGTTTGTCTGAGAAATTTACTTAACATCATGTTCACAAAAGCATTGAACAGAAAAAAATATATACATAGTGTCGTAACCAGTTTTTGCCCGGCTACGAAATTTTATTACTTGACGGGAAAAGTGATATGAATAAATGGTTTTTAAAATGTTTAGGGAGTCGCCATCGGCCTTTTGGGTCAGGTAGGCCTAAAAATTATCTTTTAAAAGAGTTTTTAAGAAAACATCTGTTAAAAGATAAACTGGTATGTGTTTTAACCAAAAATTCGTTATTTTTAATAAAAAATATATTCGTGGTCGATTATATTTGGGGAAGGATTAACACCCCACAACGCCCAAAAATTGATAATTATTAATTATAAATTGTCTATATTATTAGAAATTTAAAATTTCGAAGATATATATTTAATTTATATTCCTGTTTATTTCAAATCTATTACTATAATTTTAAGAAAATCTATTAATTTATATATATATATATATATATATATATATAAGATATTTATTTATTTAGAAATATCAGAAAATGACTTCTAGGTGCTTTAAGACAGTTCTTTTCTTAATATTAAAAAATAAATAAATATTAAAACATTTATCTAAAAATAATTAAAAAATAGATTAATATATAATTTAAAAGTAGGATATTTTATTTTTTAAGAATATCAGAAAAGGACTTCGAGGTGCTTTAAGACATCCAATTTCTTAATATTAAAATATATATATATATATAAATATTAAAATATGATTATTTTTCTAAGAAAATAATTTAAATAAAATAATATGTATTTTATGGTTTTTATAAGTAAGATATTTATTTATTAAACAATATATATATATTTATATGACTAAGATAAAAATAATAATAAAATAATAATGAAAGTACTAATTTAAACATATCAATATTAATAATAAAGACAAAATAAAATTGCAAATAAGTAATGATCAAAATAAAAGAATTTAAACTTATAAAATTAAATTGCAAAATATATAAAACTTATGGTCACAATGAAAAGAATTAAAATGTAAAACATAAAACCTAAAGGCTTTAACTCGAAATATCATAAAATTTTAATGCTAACAGTATAATTTATCCATAATTAATAAATTAGGATTAAAATAAAAATAATAAAACCTAAGATACTAAATATAATATTTACCCTAAATATGTAAATATACTGGAAATGACTAAAATAAAAATAAAATAAAAATAACATGGTTAAAATTAAATAATAACAAAACTTATGGTAAAAAATAAAAGTTATTAACATGAGTGATTAAATTATAACATATTTAAGATTAAAGGCTCTAGTTTAAAATATTATGAAATATAATAGTTAAGAGTGGAATTTAGCCATATATATTAATTATTCAGGTTAAAATAAAATTTATTAAAATTACCGGGCACTAAATAAAGTATTTACCATAAACATTTATAACTACTGGTAAGGACTAAAGTGTAATAAAATAAAATAAAGAGACAAAATTAAAATATGTCGAGACTTGATTTAGTGACCAAATTATAAACTTACAAAACTCAGAGGACTGCAAAAACAATTTACCTATGCGGGAAATTACGCACATATCCTCATCAAAACGACGTTGTTTTGATGAGGGTATATAATCCCAAAATCAGGCCCTAAAACGCTAAATTATTTCATTTTCTTTCTTTTTTTTTCTCTCTCAAAGGAGAGAAAGTTCTCTCCCTTCTCTCTAAAGGTTTTCGTTCAAATGGAGTCCGGCCTTCAGCCGAAGTCGTGCTCTGACGCCGGCACTGCCACTGCCACCGGCCACCGTACATGGTGGTCGAAATTCGGGAAAATAGCCACAAATGCTCCTGTTTTACTTCTAAGGCCGAAAATGGCCTTCTCTTATGCTAAAATGCTTTAGATCATTCCAGATCTAAAATAAACCGTAGGTTTTTACCTTCGGTTATACAATGATTCCGGCGAGGTTTAGGTTCCTCGTCCGTGGTAAGTTTCTTCGCTTCTTTTTTCTTTCGTCGTTTAGGCTCTGAATGTTTGTTGGTTGTTGACGCTTGTTGTTTTTCTTTTATGTTGTTGATATTGGTGTGTTCGTCCTTGCTCTCCTCTATTGTTGTCCATGGTTCTCTATTTGTGGTTGTTGTCTTCTCTTCGTTGCCGTGTTTTTATTTTGCAGGTGGGGTGTCTTTTATAGCCACCACCGAGGATACTCTCGGACCAGTTAAAGGAATGGCCCTCGGTGAGTCTCCGAACTATGGTGGTGACTCACCATAGGGTAGCAACGTGGAGGGGCTTCTGGATCTTCTGGAGCGTTCTGGCGAAGCGGTGGCAGCAGCTTCCATAGGGTAGCAACGTGGAGGGGATTCTGGATCTTTTGGCTGCTAAGATGATGAAACCCTTGTTGGGTTTAAGGTTTCCTGCTGTTGGGCCATAACAGGGCTCCGGGATTGGGTTTGGACCAGGTTGGGTTTTTGGGCCACTGTTGTAATTGGGCTTCGATTTTGGGCCTGTAATATGTAATAATAATATTTATTAATAATAATAAAAATATAATAATAATAATAACAATTATAATAATAAAAATAAAACGGGCCAAAATTTAGTGTCTACAGCTGCCCCTCTTTGTACATTCTTGTGTTAACAAGAATAAGGAGAAAACGAAAAGACAATAAATTTTTGTTCAGCTAACTTCTCTTGATTAAGATGGAAATGTTGAACAAGTTCTTATTATTATGAACTCTTCCATTTTCCACTGGGGATAATAATTTATCTTCTTTTGTGATTTAATCTAGCAAAAAGTTGAACAAATACTTATTCTTCAGATGAGTTCTTCTCATTATGAACTTCTTCTGGAGATGCTTATATTCAAAAGAGGGGTTGTTGATTCAACTTCAATATGTGATGAATTAAATTAAGGTTGAACAAGTTATTCTCATTATGAACTTCTTCTCCTTCTTTAGATGAGTTCTTCTTATTATGAACACTTCTGGAAATGTTGATGCTGATCTA